TTGTCACCTGGAAGCAGGGTAGGATGACTAGAGAGGAGGAAGACCGGAGAGGGGTGGCAGGACCAGTTAGGAACCTATTGCACTATTCCTAGTGACAGTTGAGGACACCTGAAATAGACTGGTGACAGTGGGAGTAAAGAAGATTTGATGTGTGGGAGAGGAAGAAGAGATAGTTACCGAGCTAGGTTTGCTAATATTTTTTTCCCTTGCAAGATTTTCTTGGCTGGTGAGAGGACAATGTGGGGGGGGGGGACAAAGAAAATATTATTTTCTTTCTTGAAACTAGAAGGTAGTATTTCAGCGAATGACTAGGCATAGGTAGAAAGCAAAATGGTTAATTAATCATGGTGCCATCCTTCCTACATAAAGAAGATACTTTTGCTCCATCATTATACTGATTCATCTCTACTCTTTTCTGACCATGAATTTGTAAAATAATTGGCTGGGGGTAAGGCTTGTGATCATGGATTTCAGCAAAACAAACATCCCAAATGTTCAGAGAATGGGATGGTTAAATAATTTGCCCACAAACACAATTAATGACAGACCTGGAGCTTGAAACCAGGTCTTCTGGCTTCACAGTCCAGGACTCTGCCCACCATTGTGATGCTGAAATGTCTACTTGCTTGGGTTAATGATCAAAAGAGTCCGCTCAGGAGTGTCTATTAGGAGCTAGGGACTTGTAATAAATAAATAAAACCTAACACAAAAGGTGGCTTACAAATACATCAAATAGTAGACCCTCATCCAACTTTACACCACAACTGCTTGTCTAGCTGTATAAGCATTGGTTTGGATCCCTACAGCTCTGAAATTGTTCATAACCAACACCAACTCCTTATTGTGTAATGACTTCATGAGCTTGTGTTTGGCTGCTAACCTGTATTAGGTCAAAGTGTTAGCAGTTCTAACTACATATATCCAGGGTGTGTGTAATATTTGTGTAGCTGAAAAAAAGAGGTTACTGCTGTTCACCAGCTTGTGGGGGTCGGGGAGAGAAGAACATAAAGGGGAACACTGGTGCCCTGGCCAATCAGACAAGATCTTAAGGGAACCAGGATGACATTATCAATGACCTTTTAGGGTTGCCTGCCTTGACTCTGTGATTCTAAGGGAAACCATTAGTGGTCATTGTCTCCATGTCAGATGGTCAAAGTTTGAGAAGAAGGGACTTCTTTTGGTTTTTACTTTTTAAAATATTTTTTATTGATTTCAGAGAGGAAGGGAGAGAGAGAGATACAAACATCAATGATGAGAGAGAATCATGGATCCGCTGCCTCCAGCATGCCCTCTACCGGGGATCGAGCCCACAAGCCAGGCATTTGCCTAACTGGGAATCGAACCGTGACCTCCTGGTTCACAGGTCGATGCTCAACCACTGAGCCACACCAGCCAGGCTGGGTTTTTTTTCTTTTAATTTTGTGTATTTGATAGTAAGGCATGACTTTATAAGGCAATCTGATATAAGACAGGGTTCTTATTCCTAGTTCATCAAGTCATTCAGGACTGTTGAACTTTCTTGTAATCTATGCTGAGTGTTAGCACAGTGTCTGTCACGTAGATATTCAATAAATGGGTAATGGATTAATTAATGCCATGGAAATGGCCAAGTGGGATAGCGAATAAGGACAAGACAATGAGAATGAATGGTGTTTCCTTTGGCATTTCGAACTCCATCTTCAGATTGTTCCAATTTGCTGTGGCCCACTCCTCCAGTCAAGCATTTTCATTTCCTCAATCTCCCGTTCTCCTTCTAAGGTCCTCTCCCCCCAACTGGACTGGCCAGAGAAGAGAGGAGTAAGAAACAAGGAAATGTGGCCCAGCTGGTGTTGCTCAGTGGTAGAGCATCATCCCAAGCACCAAAAGGTCGCTGGCTTAATTCCTGGTCAGGGCACATGCCCAGGTTGTGGGCTTCATCCTCAGTAGGGTGTGTGCAGGAGGCAGCCTATTGATGTCTCTCTTATCAATGTTTCTATCTATCTCTCCCTTTCCCTTCCTCTCTCTCTCTAAAATAAATAAAAACATTTAAACAGAAGAAACAAGGAAGTGTGCAGTGAGTGAAACTGAGGTAAATGGTCCATTGGTGATTTCCAGATTTAGTTACCTGCATCTTTAAAAGGTAGTTGGTGCCGAAACCAGTTTGGCTCAGTGGATAGAGCATCGGCCTGCGGACTGAAAGGTCCCAGGTTCGATTCCGGTCAAGGGCATGTACCTGGGTTGCGGGCACATCCCCAGTAGTAGGTGTGCAGGAGGCAGCGGGTCGATGTTTCCAACTCTCTGTCTCTCTCCCTGCCTCTCTGTAAAAAATCAATAAAATATATTTTTAAAAAAAATTTTTTTAAAAAAAGGTAGTTGGTTAACTCAGCTGACTGTTTCAGGTGGTGCAGTTAAAGTACATTAACAAAATGAAGTCAAGATTTTCCTACAGCTTGCAGGAGATGTTTGTTTTATCAATGAGTGTTTACTTGGGAGCAAGGAGCCATCTTAGAACCCCTTAAATAACTGCACCTAAACACCCACTCATCTTATTTAGGGCCCTGGTTTTCTGCCAAACTGGAGGAGCAGGAAAGGCACCACTTCATTGGAAGTTTGAAAGCCAAAGCACTAGGGATGTTCTACAATACATTTATTTTATCCTAGCTCAGTTCACTTTTATTTAAACCCTTACTATCTCTCTCCCTCTCTTCCTCCCCACTGTGGCAGAAATCTTTCCCTCCCTAATTTTCAAGACTATTATTCTATCCTGATCAGCAAGATGGAGTGAAAGTCCTTTGTTCTTGACCAAGAAACATGCATCATATAAAAGTCCCCTTATAACTTCTGCTGAATAGGCCCTCCTATTCAGCATGCCTGGGGATGTGCTCCTTCCAAAAAGAGGAACTGTAACAAAATAGCTATTTTGCATTTGGAAAAGCCCACCCAAAGCCATTTTTTACTGCATTGTAAAACTGCAGAGAAACACAAAACATAATCTAGCAAACACCCACATCCAGAATTGACATCGTGGTAGTATAAAAGATATCTCAATTTTTTTAAAATATATTTTATTGAGTTTTTACAGAGAGGAAAGGAGAGGGATAGAGAGTCAGAAACATCGATGAGAGAGAAACATCGACCAGCTGCCTCCTGCACACTCCCCACTGGGGATGTGCCCGCAACCAAGGTACATGCCCTTGACCGGAATCGAACCTGGGACCTTTCAGTCCGCAGGCCGATGCTCTATCCACTGAGCCAAACCGGTTTCGGCTCAATTTTTTTAATATAGAAAATAAAATGTTATAGATCAAGCTACAGTCCTTTTCACTCTCCCAGTTCATCCCCTCTTCCACCTTCCCAAAGGTCTATTTTATAGTTTTTATATGTATCTATATCTCTCCATGAATAATATAAGGTATGATTTTGTGGATGCGTTTCTTAATTTAAATCGATCATTGTTACCCTAGCTCAGTAGTCGGCAAACTGCGGCTCGCAAGCCACATGCGGCTCTTTGGCCCCTTGAGTATGGCTCTTCCACAAAATACCACGTGTGGGCGCAGGGTCCCGGGTTTGATTCCAGTCAAGGGCACATGCCTGGTTTTCGAGCTCGATCCCCAGTAGGGGGGTGTGCAGGAGGCAGCTGGTCAATGATTCTCTCATCATTGATGTTTCTATCTCTCTATCCCTCTCCCTTCCTCTCTGAAATCAATAAACATATTTAAGAAAAAATAAAATAAATAGATCATTGTCATAGATTATAAGTTATTCCGCAACTTGCTTTTTTCACTTAATTTTATGATGTGTTTATGTTATTACATAGTTCTAAGCTCATTCATTTAAACTATAGTGTCCATTTTATAGTGGCTTGACTTTTTCACACTTACTAACAATGATATATGTGTGTTCATATGTACATGTACAAGAATTTCTCTAAGATATGCACCTAGATATGGAATTGCTGGAGTGAAAGTAGGCAGCTTTTTTTTTTTTTTTTACTAGATACTACAAAGTGGTCGTACCAATTTGCACTTCCACAAGCAGTGGGTGAGAGGTCCTGTTTCCACTCATCCTCACCATCACTTAATATTATAAGACTTTTTAATCCTTACCAATCTGCTAGGTGAGAAATTGTATCTTGTTATTGTTTTTATTTTCCTGACGATTAGTGGGGTGCTGCTTCTCTTATAATTAAGCCAATATGTTTTTTAAACTTAATTTCTGGGGGTGTTCAAAGTCATCATTTTAAGCGATTTCATTTCTTTTAAGTTTCAACAGAAGCAAAGTAATACATTACAGTTTGATATTTACCAAGTACTTCTGCAAATTTACACCCCACAGGCAAGCCAAGTTGACAGTTATGTGGATAAACAAGGGAAATGCTTAAAGTGAAATGGGAAGGACTTAAGCTAGCTATAAATAAGAGAGTTGGGCATCTTTTCCCTATAGCTAACTAGAATTATCCTATATAATAAAAGCCTAATCTAAGTGTCCAGTTGGCCATTCACCCAAAGCATAATATGCTAATGATATGCTAAAGCCGCTCAACTGCTTGCTATGGCATGCACTGACCACCAGGGGGAAGACGCTCAACACAGGAGCTGCCCCCTGGTGGTCTGTGCGCTCCCACAGGGGGAGTGCTTCCCAGCCAGAACTGAGCGCAAGGGTGGTGGCGGGAGCCTCTCCCGCCTCTGCAGCAGCACTAAGGATGTCCGACTGCTGGCTTAGGCCTGCTCCCTCTCAGTCGGAAATCCCCCGAGGGCTCCCAAACTGCAAGAGGGCGCAGGACAGGCTGAGGGACCTCCCCCCTCCCCCGAGTGCACAAATTTCATGCACCAGGCCTTTAGTATAAATATAGTAGAGTTGAATGTGTTAGTCATTAATCCTAATTCATTAGTATGGTAGTTTTCACTTTGTAAAGCATTTCCAAATGCTGGAAGATGTGAGAGTAATGTAGAAAACTCTAGCACAATCTATAGCTGATTCCCTTGTCCTTCATCCTCTGTTTTCTCCCAGGTTTGTCGTACTCTTCATGGATGACCTGGGCCATATATCCCAGTGGAGTGCCATCATGGCTGGAAGTCTCGCAGGCATGGTTTCCACCATTGTAATGTATCCTACAGACCTCATCAAAACGCGCTTGATTGTGCAGAATATGCTGGAACCATCTTATAGGGGGATCCTCCATGCTTTTTCTACTGTTTATCAACAGGAAGGATTCCTGGCCCTTTATCGAGGAGTTTCCCTTACAGTTTTAGGTAAGATGGAAATTTTTTCCTTGTCCAAGGAAAGGCTGCATTCTTTGACATATATGAATAATTGTATGCCTTTGTAACCAGTTAAACCAGTTAATACATTTTACTGAGGTCAAGGTCATATGGATAAGTCCATATAGGGCCACTTAACTTCATTCTATTCCACAGCTGTATACCCCACTCTTAACTTTGACCTTTTGCATCCCAGAGAGGGGTGGATGACAGTGCATGGAGGTGCCTCTGAACAAACTGATAAGAAGACAATCCCACACACTCCTCATCCAACTATGGGAAGGAGTCTCAATGTGCATACATGCAAATATGAGCACAACCAGGGCAGCAGTTGTAGCTTCTGTGGTCTTTGGAGCCTGTGCCAGGACTACACACACACAGGTCACCGGGACCCCCAGTGGCCAATACAGCAGACTTTTGCTCTTTGTCTGACCTTTGTTGCAACATTTGATGAGATTGATTACACCTCCTTCTGGAAACTTGGCTTCTAGCACCCCACTGTTTCCTGGATGTCTTTCTTATGTCTCTGGCAGCTTTCTTGTCTGACTCATCTGGCTCATCTGACACTGCTAGCCCCCTACATATTGCTATTCCCCCAGCTCCTTCCTTAATGTTTCCTTCATCCTCCATATCCTCCCTAGGTGGCCTCATCTAAGCTAGTAGCTTAAACAAGTATCATTATACTCTAATGACCTCTAATATAATCTCTATAGTAACATTTATTGGTGCTTACTATGTGCCAGGCAGTGAGTTAAATGCTTTGCATACAGATTCTCATTTAAGCCTCATTTTACAGATGAGGAAATAGATGCTTAGGGAAGCTAAGTTACCTGCCATGGTCACATGGATAGAAAGTGAAGGAATTTAGCAATATAACCCAGAGCCCTCTCTCTTAACCACTGGCTGCTACCAATTCCCAGTGGCAGTATGAATACCTGCCATTAGACACCCTCACCTGATGCTCCCTTGGCACATCAAACTCGTTAGTCTCACACCTGCTTTCCTCCTGTGTCCCCTAATAAGACCTTGCTTTCACCCAGTGGCCTGAGACAGAAGAAACCTAGACTCACTTCAACTCTACCTCTCACTCCACTCTTGCTTTAGTCACCAAGTACTTTTGAAATGACCTCTTTGAACTCTCAAATCTATCCCTTCTCCATCTCCATCTCCTCTGCCCTAGGTTGCACTCTCATCACCATATTTCCCATAGACACAAGAAGCACCTCTTATCTGCTCCCAGTCTTGGTTCTCTCCCTCCCCAGCTTGCCCTGTGCACTGCAGCCAGGGTGTGGTGATCTCTCTAAATGCAAAATGATCATTTCACCACCCTCACTCCACTGCCCTCCTCAAAAGTCTTCACTGCCTCCTGAACTACAGAGGAAAACCCCAATTCTTTATAGCCTACCAGATCCTTCAGAACAGCTCGTCTAACCTCCTCTCCTGTCACACCCCCACTTGCACTGATGCTCCAGCCATACAGAAATACTTGCATTTCCTGGAAACATTTCTCCCTTTGTACATGCTGTTCCCTCTGCCTAGAATTCCTGTCTACTCTGTCTGATGAACTCCTATTCATTCCTCAAGACCCAGTTGAGAAGTTCTCTCTTCTGTGAAATCCTTCTTGATTCCCCCAGGCAAAATTAACTCTTCTCCTTGTGTACCTAACGCATTTTGTAGAGCCCTCCCAGCTCCAGCCCTGCCCCTATGGCACCTATGAGCTGTCTCACCACTAGATGGTGAGCTTCTCCAGGAATTAGCCTACTTACTCTTCTCTGTATTCCTGCAACCTGGCCTAGGTCCCAGCACACCCATTTCACACATGTTTTCTGAATGAAGGTAAATGGGGGGTTAGTACATCTTTTTGAAAATTTTTTTTAAATCCTCACTCAAGGATATGTTTATTGATTTTTAGAGAGGGAGAGAGAGAGAGAGAAAGAGAGAGACATCAATATGAGAGAGAAACATCGATCAGTTGCCTCCAGTACATGCCCTGACTGGGGATTGAACCCACAACCCACAGGAATCAAACCAGTGATCTTTGGTGTACGGATGATGCTCCAGCCAACTGAGCTACCCAGCCAAGGCTGGTACACCATTTTAAATGTGTTTATTAAATATAAGTATTATATTTTTTTAAGGACAAGCAACCCCACTGTGTTATCCCCTCTTTTTTAAAAAAATATGTTTTTATTGATTTTAGAGAAAGAGTAACAGAAACATTGATGAGAGAGAATCATGGATAGGCTGCCTCCTGCATGCCCCCCACTGGGGATCCAGCCAGGGCCCTGGGCATGTGCCCTTACCAGGAATTGAACCGTGACCCCCTGGTTCATAGGTTGATGCTAAACCACGGAGCCACGCCGGCCGGGCTATCCCCTCTTTTAAATCCCTTTTTGAGGGAGAAATTTAGTCACTCTGTAAAATTAAGATGGTTCCCAAAGTTTCTGGAAGTTTATGAAATTGCCATCTACTGTACTCCTTGCTCATCATATTTTCCTGGGAAGGTGAGAATGCCATACAGTGCAGGGTGCCCACTGAACCCTGACATGGCCACATCATTTCCAAAGGCAAGGTCAAGTAACCTCCCTCTTTCCAGTTTTCACAGAATGTTTCCTTCTCAGCTGGAGACCACTCCCTCCTACCCTCCAAAAGTTGATTAAGAACAGGTACTAACTTTTTCTTATGAGAGTGATTTTCTTCCAACATTTTATTTTTTACAATTTCAAACACTCAGAAATGTTAAAAGAATTAGAAATGCACATATTACCACCATCTAGATGCTATAATTAACATTTTGCTTTATTACATATCTGTCCATCTATCCATCCTTCTAGCCATTCATCAGTTCATCTTATATATTTTTGATGATTTGCATGTAAGTTGCAAACATCAGATGCACTTCACCCCTCAACCCTTTGATACCTGTATCATAAACTAGATTAGATTTCAATATCTGTAAATGTTTTTTTAAATATGTTTTTATTGATTTTTAGAGAGGAAGGAGAGGGATACAGACATCCATTGGCTGCCCCCTTCATGCCCTCCCCTGGGAATCAAGCCCACAACCCAGGCATGTGTCCTGACCAGGAATTGAACCAGTGACCTCTTGGTTCATAGGTTGATGCTCAACCAACTGAGCACCATCAGCCTGGCTGTTTATTACTTTTTAAAGTAAAATTTACATACAGTAAAGTGTGCAAACCTTTTGCAAACCATGTGATGCATTTTGACAAATGACACAACCCCTATGAAAATAGAGCACATTATCATCACCCAAGAAAGTTCCTTCCTGGTGCTTCGGTTGGAATGGTCTTAACAAGCCCAGAGTGGGTCCTATTTACTTACCCCGGATGCCCCACAGGCATTTATGTTCCCAAGCTGGTGTTTGCCTAGACCTCAGCAGCCTCTTCCTGGCCTTGTTTTGCAGGTGCTCTCCCTTTCTCTGCTGGCTCTCTTCTAGTTTACATGAATCTGGAGAAAATCTGGAATGGACCCCGAGATCGCTTCTCTCTCCTCCAGAACTTTGCCAACATCTGCCTGGCTGCTGCGGTGACCCAGACCCTCTCCTTTCCCTTTGATACAGTGAAGAGGAAGATGCAGGTGAGGAATGATGGAGCGGGGCAGTGGGGAGATTCCTTGAAGTGTTGGTGGGTTGGTAGCAACAGCAGAGAACAACCCTGAGCAATGCCAGGATTCCAAGGGGATCATGACTATTCACACAAATACTATGCAAACCCCCACTCCGGGCATTTCTGCTGCTAACCTCAGGGCTATTGGCTGCAGCCCAAGCTGCTATTTCTTTCACATACTCTGCTTTTTTAGGACTTTTTAGCCCTTCCAGATGAGGCCCACTTTTCTTTCCTCTCTTTCCCATAGTTGCCACCAAAGCATAGCTGACATCAAAGCAGCCTCCTAGCTCCCTCTCCCTGGGCCTCCACAGTGAGAGGAGGGCACTCTTACTTTCGTAGCCACCCCTTACCTCTGTGAAACAAACTGGAAAGAAACAAAATAAGCCAGGAGCTGTTCCATAGCCAAGCTCCAATAGTCCCTTACTCCCTTGCTAAGGAAGTAACTACATTTGAAATGGGTCAGTGTCTTAGTGGGAGTCCCCCTGCGTTTTCCTAATTGTTGCCTGGGAAACTCACATTTTCTCTATTAGCTACAGAGGCAAAAGCATGGTGGTATCCAAGGTCCCAAAGTGAGTAACTGGCTTAGCCTAGAATCAGTCAATTTTGATTAAAAAAAAAAATCAGCGGGCCAAGTAAGGTTGGGGGTTACAAGCAAGTCTGAGGGCGGGCTCAGAATCAACAACTCTGAGGTTTTGTATGTGCCTTTAACTCAACTCCAGTCCACAGCCTTGCCTGCCTTCCTGACCTCTTCTGGGCAAATCTTTTTTTTTTAAGGCCTCAGTTCCCACAGAGAATAGGGTTCCAGGAGGTAGGAAGGCTCCTCTTCCATCCCTGATTTTTTTTTGTTTGTTTCTTTTTTGTTGTTGTTTATCCTCACCCAAGGATATTTTTCCGTTGATTTTTAGAGAGAGTGGAAGGAAGGGGGAAAGACAGAGAGAAACATCGATGTGAGAGGAACACATTGATTGGTTACCTCCTTCACAAGCTCTGACCAGGGCCTGGGCCCGGGAGGAGCCTGCAACAGAGGTATGTGCCCTTGACTGGAATCGAACCCGGGACCCTTTGGTCTGCAGGCTGATGCTCTATCCACTGAGCAAACTGGCTAGGGTACAAATCTTGATTTATATAATTGATATATGTTCCTGAGGAGCTGCTTGCATATTAAATTGGGTTCAGTTGAATCCAGTTTTAAATATCAGTCCCAGCTGAGTTTCTTTTTCCACCTGTCTGTAACTTGTCCCTCCGAAGTCTCAGTGACCCCCAGCTTCCCTCCATAGCTTTCTTGGCTGAGCTGGTCTCCACTTACCTCAGCACTAAAAAGCCTGAAAGTACTTATCTCAACCTATAATGAAACGATGCCTTCAGAATAATACACATCATGATGACACCCAATTCTGCTGCTCCAGTCCATCAAACCTTTCATCTCTCTGGGTTGTGATCCTTTCCTGTCCTTTATCAAAACAAAGAAATAATTGTCACATTATTGAAATGGTAGTGTAGGTGCAAGTTTAGAGCCTGCTCACTGAATGCTTATTTGTAAACCATTATTTCTAATTTTAAAAGGAATGCATATCCACTTAAAAGTGGTTAAAATGGTCAATTTTATGTTATCTGCTTTGCACAGATTATAGAAAAGTATAAAAAAACAATAATTACTTATAAGCCCAATACCTATGCAGTGTAATGATTAATAGTTTTTCTTTTATGTATATTTGTATGTGTGCACATGTGTATATATGTGTGTGCATAAATATATATAATACATGTATATGGAACGTTTTTTTTTTACAAAATTATGTTCCTACTGTATATAAAAATTAGTATCCTGCTTTTTCCACTTATTATATAATGGGTATTGCCCCAGGTCATCAAATATTGAGAATATCTTTTTAAATTATCTCAATATTCCACCATATGGATGTGTCATAAATGTTTTAATATATTTTTATTGATTTCAGAAAAGAAGGGAGAGGGAGAGAGATTGAAACAACAATGATGAGAGAAAATCATTGATCAGCTGCCTCCTGCACACCCCTCACTAGGGACCAAGCCCGAAACCCAGGCTTGTGCCCTGACCAGGAATCAAGCCATAACCTCCTGGTTCACAGGTCGACACTCAACCACTGAGCAACACCAGCCGGGTCATAAATATTTTTTAAAACAACAAAGATGTATTCTCAAAGTTCTGGAGGCTGGAAGTTTAATATCAAGGTGTTGGCAAAGCCTTTTGGGTGTTCTAGGAGAGAATCCTTCCTGTCTCTTCCAGCTTCTGATAATCCTGACAATTCCTTGGTTTGTAGCAACATAACTTCAATCTCTGCCTCCATCATGCCATAAATAACAATTTCTCGCCCTGGCCAGTGTGGCTAAGTGGTTAAGAGTGTTGGCCCCTGCACCAAAGGGTCTTGGGTTCGATTCCTGGTTAAGGACACCTACATGGGTTGAAGATTCAATCCCCGGCCCTGTGCTGGAAAAAACCAATTGATGTGCCTCTCTCACCTCTCTCTCTCTCTATCTATCTCTATCTCTGTCTCCCTCCCTCCCTTCTATTCTCTCTAAAGATCAGTGGAAAAAATATCCTCGGGTGAGGATTAACAAAAAAACACAATTTCTTGGTTTTTTAATATTTAGGCTCTTTCTGATTCTCCAATATGATAACATTGCAGTGAAAACCATTGTATTTTTTCACATTTGTGATGACACCCTTCAGCTATATTCCTAGAAATCGACTTACAGGTTACAAGATAAAAATAATTCTAAGGTTCTTAATGGAGTTTGTGCCCTAGAAAGGTTATAAGTTTATACTTGCATCAGCAGTAAGAGTGGTTCATCTCAACTCTCATTATTAACAGGAATTATTGTCACTTTCTAATTCCTTGTGAACCTAATAGCTAACAAATTCTATCATTGTTTTAATTTGAATTTCATCGATCATAAGCAAATTGCACATTTTTCAGATATCAATTGACCCTTTGTATTTCTTTTGTAAATTTTCTGTTTATGTCCTTCATCTATTTTTCTAGGATAGCCAGCTTTTTCTGCTGTTTGGTAAGAAGTCTTTATATATTAAAGATATCAACCCTTTGCCATACATTACACATATTTTTCCCAGTTCAACATTGGCTTCTGATGCTGTTTATGAACTGTTGTACATATTTTTAGATTTTTATGCAATTATATCTATTACTGGTTTTTGTTTCTAACTTTACTTTTCTGTGCAAAAAACCTACCCCATCCCATAATCATATGACTATTCATTTATATATAGTTCTTTAAATAATTTTGTTATAATTTTTGCACTTAATACTAATATATTTTGGATTTACCTGGGATATGATATGTGCAGTAATCATTTGACTTTTACAAAGATAGTTTACCAATTGTTTAAGGATATGTCAACCTAAAGATAAAAAGGCCTTTCACAGTGAGAGACAAGAACAACTTATTTGAGGTCAAAGAATAACTATTTGGGAAGCACTGATTCAGGTAGAAGCCTGAATAGTGTTCTGATTGAGAGGCAAAGGCAGTGGATATTTGTGAGAAAGGATATAAAATAAAATAAAATAAAATAAAAAACAAACAAACTAAAAAAACAACAAAAACACATATTTTTAATTTAAAAACACACACACAATGTTTTAAGGGGAACAATTACATCAATAGAAGGAAGGCATTTGTATTGGTGCAGATAACATAATTCTAAACAATGTTTTTAGCCCTGACTGGTGTTGCTCAGTTGGTTGAGCATCGTCCTGTGCACCAAAAGGTCGAAGGTTCAATTCCTAGTCAGGGCACATACCCAGGTTGCAGGTTCAATTCCTGGTTGGGGCTAGTGCGGGAGGCCACCAATCAATGTTTTTCTCTTCTTTCTCCCTGTTCCTTTCGCTCTATAAATCTCTCTGAAATCAATAAAAATATATTTTTTTAAATATTTTTAATTTTCAGTCCAGTAGTCATCAGTCTTGTAATCATGATATCTGCTTTCTTGTTATCTTTGCAAACAGTTCTTTGGGGCACAAGTTTGCATAGGCCCAGCCCAAAGGTTATTTTGCCCTGTTTAAACATTTCAAGGCTTAAGGTGTAAGATGTGCAAAGCAGTTTTTCTGGCGTGGCAGCTCCAGCTCCATTTTAAAGTGGCTCTGTTTATGTTATTTTTCTTAATATACCATTTTTGGAATAATCATTTCTCCCTCTATTCTGTGATGCAGCTTTTACCATCTCCTAGATGTTTACATATTCTAGGATCTATCCTGGGCTGTGTATCCTATTCTGTTGATCTGTCAGTCTGTTCTTGTGCCCTACTGCAATTCCTCTAGCTCTATAATGACTTTTCCTATGTGGCATGGCATCTCCCTCCTCATTGCTCTTCATTTCAAAATTTCCTTGCTTATTCTCAGTCATTTGTTTCCCCTGATGAACTTCAGAATTACCTTGTGATTGTGAATGGAATATGTTAAACCTATAAGCTTGAATAATTCATGTCAGAGATTCTGTCTTTTACTTAGGAATGTCATATATCTCTTTTAGTTTCAGTCTTTTTTCTTTAGATTGAACTATATGAAATTGCCAAGATTCTACCTTTTTTGACATACTCAAACAGTAATTTCATATGGTTCAACCCTCAGAAAAGTTGATTTCTTCATATGGTAATTATGCTTTTTCTAAAAAACATAGCTTCTTTTAAAACACACATACACACCAGGGAGAGGTTTACTGGTAAAGAGTTATGATCATAAAAATCTAGAAGCTTTTTATTTTCTTTTTAAATCCTAACCCTAGGAATTTCTCTTACTGTCAGGAGTGAGAATTGGCTCTTGCTGGTTGATCACTTATAGCAATGGTTTCCATGCTTTGAAGATCACTTTTTTGAAATAGTAGATAGAGCCAGAGGCATCTCATCAGCATTTTCTGCCACCTCTTATAATTTAGTGTTCCTCATGCATAGTACAAGGCCTCGAGCCTAGGGGTAGG